TGAGCCGCAAAGTCATCTGACAACTCAGCAGTGCAAATCAGAGGGACGGGGAGGATCCATGCAACCAAGACCGATCGCTACCCCAACCAAAGCGACTCCGCATCCGAAACAAGTGAGGACAAAGCCGACAAAGTGCACAAGGTGAAGTCTGGTAAGCCAGATGGAAAACCAGGAATTAAACAATGCGGGGGTTGCGGAGTACACCACTGCTCTGCATGCCATTTCAAAGACACTATCTGCCGAAAGTGTGAGTGCAGAGGCCACATCGCGGAGGTATGCTGGGCCATCCAACCGACCAACAAGCAAGGCAGGAGGGCCTCATCACCCACATGGCAAAATGGTCACCAAGGGGGAGGGCAGAAGCCCCCTAGCAGGAAATTCAAAAGGGGAGATAACACCAGGGAAGAAGAAGCACACTTCACCTTCGTTGGTTATGCCCAGACCCAGGTGAGACACGCTGACACCTATGAAGCCAACAAAATAATGGCCACAGTATCCATCGAGGGCAAGCCCTGCCAGATGGAAATAGACTCGGGGTCCTACATATCCATGATCTCGTGGGATACCCTTAAAAGACTCCAACCCAAACTGCGGCACAACCAATTGGAACCACAGACTATTGTGTTAAGGGACTACCAGGGCTGGGCAGGAAAGCAGACCACAAAAAATACGTCCGTTTTCAAGGAAACCTGCCACTCACCATTGTAGACCAGAACCTTCCAAGCCTACTAGGAAGAGAATAGTTCCAGCCGCTCCAAATCAACATCACCAGCATTCACGCAGCAGAGGCCACCCCACCGCGTCCGGCAGCAGACATCGCAAAACTGGAACGGGAATTCAGTGACCCATTTGGGTACCTGCCAAAATCACCACGCTCACTGGACCCAGATCCTATCGGATAGAGACAGAGGAAAGGAAACAGTGGGAGAGACACATTGACCAAATCAGAAGCCGGGTCCCTATCTCAGACAACCAGCCAGAAACCCAACACGAACAAGCAAAACTAGCCCTAGCAAAGGCCCTACCTACAGAACACAGAATAAGAACTGACGGACTAGCATCAAACCTGAACAGAACATGGGGACACCTATCTTGCGAAGAGGAAGTCCCATGTTGTACGTCTGAGGCCTCAGGCTCAACGGTCCCTGCCACACCAGCAAATAGTTTTGAGATGCTTCCACAGGCAGGGACCAGAGCAGCAGTGGACCCGTCCATTCAGGCTGCCACCCCAGGAACAATTGAGGTGTGCAGGTCCAGTTGCACCCCTCAAAGCCCCACCTACCTATGCAATTATGTGAGGTACACAAGTGCTGACTGGAGGAACGCTAACTAGGAGGGGATGGGTGTTAGGTATTACCAAATATGGCCATAGAGTGGAGTCAGCAAACAGACTCCACTCATTGGCCCAGCCACTGGCGGGAGAAATAAAGTCCCATCCGTGGCTGAAGCTTTGGACAGCGCTGGCTATAAAATCTGGCCCCAGCCACGGCTGAGTGGCTTCTTTCTTAATTCCACAATAAAAGAGTTTTACCTGTTCCTGACACATCCTGACTCTCATTCCCATGGACCCATTTAACAGTTAAAGTTTTTGGGGTTTGAGGAAGAAACCACAAAGTCAGGTAGTGTATTCCATTGACCACTCTGTTGTTGAAGCCATATTTCCTGCAATCGAGTTTGGTGTGGTTTACCTTGAGTTTGTATCTATTGTGTATTGTGGTTGAAGCTGAAGTAGTCATTGACAAGTAGGACATTGCAATAGATAATTTTATGTACTACTCTTAGGTCGGACTGTAGGTGGCGTAGTTCTAAGTTGTCTAAGCCTAAAATTTCAAGTCTGGTGGCATAAGGTATTCTGTTGAGAGTAGAGGAGTGGAGGACTCTTCTTGCGAAATATCTCTGGACTCCCTTGATTGTATTAATGTCCAGTATGCAATGCGGGTTCCAGACAGATGAGCTCTATTCGAGAATTGGTCTAGCAAATGAAATTATTGTGCTATCCTTACTTGCCAAAGTTATAAGTATTCCAGCAAAAAAAAACCAAACCAAACCACGTATCTTCCTATTTTTTTGTATAGGAGGTATATTAAAAATATGAGTCTAATCAAATTTAATGCTACTCACAAACCCATCCAGAAGTGCTTAGAGTGAAAAATATTATTTAATATTTGTATAGCATTGTACAGGATTCAAAATGTTGCATATGCATGATTTAGTTGTAAATTTGATAATAATCTTACATTATTACCCTAATCTCCCACATAGCAGTTGGTAAAGAGACAGATTCATATAGGGCTACTCCTAAAGTTAGTGGCAGGACTGTGATTCATCAAACAGGGGATTTCTGCTTCACAATTCAGACTTTTTGCCAGTAGATTAACTATATTACATGCAACAATGGCCAAGAATCCATTCTGGTAAATCAAAGCTTTTTTTATATATATCTCTAACCTATCCTCCATCCTTTCACCTCGTTGCCTGAGCCAAAACTCTGAACAGCCATGAAGAGAATACAATATGGCGAACTTCACCTTGCCCTTCTGTCAGTGATGTAAATATTGTACTATCCTGATTTCATCTTTAGATTCAGGAACAATGTGATGAAAATAGGGGATTTTTTGTGAGATAGCTCTGGATGGGGGAACAGAAAGAGTTTGAAGTGGTAGCAATTTGATAGTTGTTCTGGGGCCTCCCTCTTTAAATGTTGAAGCATATTATATTCCATTTAGTACATGCTTGAAATACTTCATTTCAGCCCTCTGTCCTTGATAATAGCAAGATATTTAGGCATGCTGAAATACAGATAGTCCTCTACTTACAATAATTCATTTAGTGACCATTCAAAGTTATAACAGCACTGAAAAAAGCGACTTATGACCATTTTTATACAACCATTGTAGCATCCCCATTGTCACTTGATAAAAAGTTGGATGCTTGACAGCTTGTGATGGTTGCAATGACCCCAAGATCGCCTTTGTGACCCTCTGACAAGCAAAGTCAGTGGGGAAGCCAGATTCTATTATTATTGTTGTTGTTATTTTTGTTGTTGTTGTTGTTGTTTTAGCATATGACAGATTCACTTAACAACCATGTTACCAACTGAACAACTATTGTGATTCACTTAACAACTGTGGCAAGAAAGGTCATTAAATGGGGCAAAATTGGCTGCTTCTGTCAACTGCAATTGGGAGTGATAAAGAAAGCAGTCTGTGATGACCTGGGGCATGACACAAAAATAACCAAGTCACAAAAATAGAAGAAAGCCCTCTTAATGCCTCCAACTTGGCCCCAATGTCCAATTATCCTGGGCAGGAAATCAAACTCTTAAAGAAAACAGTTTACGGAGGGAATAAATGCAGTCCGCACCCAAAGTAAAGTTAATTTGAAATAAAAAACCCAACACACTACACTGAAGGAATTACTACAGCAGGCAAGGATGATTAATTGCAGACTTCTACCAGATAACACAGAAACCACAGCTGGAAGGAAGCCAAAACACAGATAAGCTCCGACAAGAATGTATGCTTTGCTTCCAGCAACTTTGCCATGCACAGTTTGTCCTTTTAACCAGTCCTCCCAGCTGCAGCCCATGAAGGGGATCAGGGCCCCTTCCTCCCCCTTAGACCACGCCACTCATGTTTCTGCCTTATCCGCTACTCCCTGTATGCCCTAGGACAGTGGTTCCCAACCTTTTTTTTGCCCCGCACCCCTAAAGAAATTTCACTCGAACCTCGCACCCCCTGAAATTTATATTTTGCTCAGTTAAATTAATCCATTATAAAAGAAAATAAAAATGCCAACATATAGCCAATATCCTATTATTTACCTGGACTTTTCTTGCACCCCCTGGAATATTGTCTTGCGAGCACCCCAGGTTAGGAACCCCTGCCCTAGGATGAAGGGAGGTTGGGCCTGGGTCTTCTTCTGAATGTCAATACGGCCTGTGCCCTTCCCCAGTTTCCTCCACAACCACCGGAGCCACACTCCCACTCCCTGTCAGCAGTTCCATCTTTCCCTCGGAGTCAAACTCCAACAGGAGCATGACACAGTCCCAGACATTATGACCCACTAAATTGGGGAAAAATAAGTGATCATAGTAATATTGTTTGCAATTATTAACTTTTATTATCCTCATTAATTTTATTTTCTAACCAAAGGACAATCCATGCTAGTGAGAATGACCTAGGAAAACTGCTACATGTAGTCCTTTATTTACGACTATTTGTTTAATGATTGTTCAAAGTTACAATGGCATTGAAAAAAGTGACAAGACCATTTTTCATACTTACAAAAATTGCAGCATCCCCATGGTCATGTAATCAAAGTTCAGATGCTCGCCATATCTATGACAGTTGCAGTGCTCTGGGATCACGTGATCAAGTTGTGAGACCTTCTGACAAGCAGAGTCAATGGGGAAGCCAGATTCACTTAACAACCATGTTATTAACTTAACAATTGCAATGATTCACTTAATAATTGTGGCAAGAAAAGTTGTAAAATGGGTCAAAACTCACCCAATGTCTCACTTAGCAACATAAATTTTGGGCTCAGTTGTGGTCATAAATCAAGGACTACCTGTACAGTGGAAATATAATTCAAGGGCAGTGTTTATGATGATAATGTGACAATTGTGAAGACTTCAATATATGGGCATATTTTTCTTTGGAAGAATATTGATGTTTTCAGAAAGAGTTATATAGTGGCCTAGCCATTTCAATTTTAGAGCCTTCTGAGTATGTTTCTACTGTAATCTCTAGTGATGTTTTTCAGACTTTGCAACTTCAAGATTTATGTATTTTAACTCCCTGAATTTTGGGAATTGAAGTCCACACATCTTAACATTTCCAGGTTGAAAAAACTTGCTTTAGTATGCTCACCAATTTAGCCCATCTCTTCTCATTGAAATCAATGTTTTGTACTATAACACTCATTTTTCACCTCCTTCAGATTAATTAAGCAACTTTAACCAAGTCATTCTGTTTTCCTTTTATTCCTTTCCACAGCTTGTCCACCATCATTTGAATACCAGTGTGTCACATGCAGTGCCAACGAAGGCTCATTCTGAAGATCCTTTCTTCATTGTGGAAACCATTTGCATCTGTTGGTTCTCCTTTGAACTCCTGGTGCGATTCATAGCCTGCCCAAGTAAGCCAGCTTTCTTCAAGAATATCATGAACATGATTGATTTTATAGCCATCATACCTTACTTTGTTGCCCTTGGTACAGAGTTTGCACGCCAACGTGGGGTAAGCCAACCTGCCATGTCATTGGCTATCCTCAGAGTTATCCGGTTGGTGAGAGTCTTTAGAATCTTCAAACTCTCCAGACACTCCAAAGGATTGCAAATCCTAGGTCAGACGCTTAAAGCCAGCATGAGGGAACTGGGCTTGCTCATCTTCTTCCTCTTCATTGGAGTCATCTTGTTCTCCAGTGCTGTCTATTTTGCAGAAGCTGATCATGACAAGTCAAATTTCTCCAGCATCCCTGCTGCCTTCTGGTGGGCTGTGGTTACCATGACAACTGTGGGATATGGTGACATGTACCCTGAAACTATGGGAGGCAAAATTGTGGGGTCTCTTTGTGCCATTGCTGGAGTACTCACTATCTCGCTTCCAGTACCTGTCATTGTTTCCAACTTCAGCTACTTTTATCACCGAGAAACTGATTGTGAAGATCAAGGTCAATATACCCACATTACAACATGTCCATATACCCCACCACCATCCCCAGAAATTGCTGCCATCCAAAGGAAAGCTCATGTCCATGAGAAAGCTCTACATAGGGAGAAACATGGCGACAAAGAACTCATTGTACCCAATTCAGAACTTCTAGATGGTATGGTGCCTACAGGCAATTCAGAAGTGCCCAACAAACGTCTTGTGACCCAAGTGTGATCATCTCATCTGCCCAAGCAATTCTTGTCTGCTACATGCCTTTCTTTACTTCATCTCAGCATATTTAACTTGAAAGTTCTGCATAATAAGGCTGTGAGCCAGAAGTCTGATCTGTTGTTGTGCTTAAAACTAGTAATGAGTTCAGAGATTTAGAGGGGAGGGTTTGGAATGGGACAAGTTACAATGGGCTGCCAAAGGATCAGATTTTATACATAGCAAGAAAAATGAATTAATTGCAAAGAAGCAGTTCAACGAACACATATTCTGCCATATTGTTCTTTCTTAAGTTGGAGTTGCAATCAATCAAAAAAGGTTCTTTCTGCTTCTTTTATTTCCCTTTACTCTGTTACCTCCCATCCTTATGTGACTCAAAAGAGCACGAAGATGCCTTCCTGAAACCACAGTACTGTGTTCTTGGGTTACATCTGCTGGATCGTTCAATGGAACATACCCAGGACAAGCAGACCCCAAATAGCAAGCGTGGGGATAAATAAGGGAGTGCTATCAGGCAGTCATTTTTGATTCAGGATATTACAGGCAACATTGTCATCATACTAATAAAGAACTGTAAATACATCTCTAGGAGAAGGCCTGCTGCTGCTCTGCTGTTGCTGTTGCTGTTGCTGTTGCTGCTGCTACTACTACTACTTCTACTTCTTCTTCTTCTACTACTACTACTACAGGTTTTTCATCAGCCTACTTTCCTAACATAGGACTTCTTTACTTAGATTATACAACAGATAAATTGTCTTCATGTTTCTGGAAATTTACTTTGAAAATTGCTCTTGTTTTTTTAAGCAATAGCAAAATTGTAGTAGTTGTATAATGTGTTTTAGAAACTACTTTATTATTTCTGAAATTTAGTGCAACCCTCCTCTTAGCACATTCTTCTGCTTCCATGTTCAGTCCTCCACAAAGAAAAGCGACAATTTAATATAACATTAAAACCAAGATCAACCCTGTTAGCTACGGTATACCTCAAACCAGCTCAACTTTAAAAAAGCAGGGTAAAGGAGCTTAGATTGAGTGACAGTGTGGGTGCACATATGCATCTTTGAGACAGCATTGACTCGTATTAATTACTAGGATTAGTCTGTCCAGTTTTTTGACAAGATTTTTGGAAATGGTTTTCTATTACCTCCTTCCTAGAGTTAAAGAGAACAACTAGCCCAAAGTCACCCAACTGGCTTTATCTCTAAGGCAGAAATCTCCTGGTTTCTAGCCTGGTGCTTTAATCACAAACTGACTCTCCTTAGAATATCATTAAAGAGCAGCAACTGATTATTATTTAATCCCTCATTCAGCACTGTTGTTTCTTTTACCTATGGTGCCAAAAAATTGTGCGTTGTTCCTGGACAACTCAACAGTTTTTCTTTACAAATATGCACAATTCATCATGCTCTTCCATTGCTTTTTATACTTATGGAACAAAAACCCTCTTGGTTCAATTTAACCACTGTCAAATTCATTCAGGGAGAACACAGACCTTTCCCATCAAAAGCTAGTTAACTGTTAAAAGCCTTAGCTTTTAATTCAAGTTAACCTTCTGCTAGCTATTCTCAAGCACTTTCTTTTACTTCATGTTTTAAAATACCAGCTTTTTCCAACTTTATCTCTTCCATGTTCACTAGATTGCAGCTCTATTCTTTCTGGCTGGAATTTTTAAACCTGTAGACCAATAGTTATAGAGGGCACTAGACTGGGAATGATTGGCTTAAACTTTAAAGATAAATCCTTTTTTAGTTATCCCATGAAATATTCATAGGGAATGGAAAGAAGGGTGGTTCTGAAAGTCTTAATAATAAATACCCATCAGCTGGGAAAAAGTTAAACTGAAAAAGAGAAAGATCTCTCTAGCCCTCATTTCCCAGAAACTTTTACTTGTCTTAATAAAATTTGTATTACACTAGTCTTAAAATGAGAGAAAGGGAAGAGTTTACATTTTTGGTCAAACAATAGCACTTTCTCTTAATTATACTTGTTTTATCTTAAAGTAAGGCAAAAAGAACTATATAAATAAAAAAGCTTCTTGAGCTCAATTAAGCTTAAAGAACAGAGTGTGAATAAGTGAATCTAAACAATAGTGTGAGTTGCGTGAGTGAGTACAGAGGCTACAAATATCTCAACAGAAATGCAATACAATAGAAATGGCTGGTAAGTGAATAATGTTGTAAGTTTAAAAATATTATAGCTACAGTTAAATTATCCTCCTGCCCATTTCTTAAATCAGGAATATAGTGACAAAGTAGTGCTATGTAGAATATGTTGTTAAAAAGAATGGGCAGAGTACGGTGAAGAGGTGCCAAGAAGACAGGATTCCTGGATCTTCCTCTTGGAAGGGGAAGGTTCAGCAAATGGAATGGGTCAGCCAGAGTGAACATAACAAGAGCCTGCTGGACCAGACCAACATCTATCTACCCCAGTATCTGTTTTCAGTAATGGTGCTGTCTGAGTAAGTTGGACTTTGGTTCCTATAAAACTTGGGAAGTTTGAAAGTTGATATCCAGTGTTTCAAAAAAAACCAAAAAACTGATTGAGCAAGGTTTGACTTGGCAGTAAACCAACGCTTTAATAGAGTTGTCACATATGAGTGATATAATTTAGTTTTTAAAATAATTCCTGTTTTCTACTAGTACACTAAAGAAATGGGCAGAGCAAAAACACTACAGAATTATAATTTTAAACTTAATGACAAACTATGTTTAAAAGGAGATTTGTAAATAGTGTTTGTTGCTGAAAAAATAAGACAAATAAAACACACTATGGCTAAATGTACTAAGAGAACCCTGCTTATAAATTTGTCTCTTTTTAAAATAGGACTTTTTATTATATCTTTTGGAGGAAATTCTATAGATTAGTTAAGCATTGTCTAAAGAAATTATCTTTATTTGTCCTAAATTTTCTACAAGTTGACTTCTTTGGATAGCCCCATATTTCACCATTGTGTGTGTAAGGGGGAGAAGAAACAGCTATCTGCCTTCTGTGCATTATGCAAAGGCATACTTATTACAATGAAAGTGAGTTCAAAAGAAAAGGGTTACTCTGGTGAGAATTGCTACCTTGTCACTCATAAATGCTCTGTGTGAAGGAATCTCAAAGTTACATGATACAGTATGTATATCATGTAGCTCTTTAGACATATAGTGCCTCTGCCAAGAACATAGGTGACAAATAGAGTACTGTCTAGGCCAGATGTAATTTAAACATTTTGAGTAGCATGTAATTTCTCTGCATAATTTCAGTAACTAGTGTAACTTATGACCAAAACAATTGCACTGTAGTTGCTAAGCACAGTCACGGTGACTATATTTATAAATGGTCCCATCCAGAAATGTACTTGCATTTTATTACTCAACCATTATGCATATAGGATTAGAGTAAAAGCTTAGAAGATATTTGGAAGAAATTAACATATGTAACCATTCCAAAGCTGGGATCCAGATGGAAGTTGCTATAGCTTTTGTTGGATAATGAGGTAATTATAAACACCTGTTGGATGTGGGTTGAGAAATCTGTTGCCGTTCTGATGTTACTAAAGGGCAACTTCCAGCATTCCTCATGATGAGCCTTGCAAAAAGTCATTAGGGATGCTCCACATTTGCTAGACTGATAAACTTTACATCCAGCAGTATAATGTGGAGTGCCCCTTCTTTTTGCCCTGTACCATCAATGTTGAAGTCTCTACAATTCCCCCCCCCAGCAAATAATAATTAGGCATTGATGGAAAAAGGATACTGGACTAGCTTTTGCTAACCTTCTCTTCTATAATGATAAAGTAAATGTGTCTTTGTCTATAGTTTCTTTGGTTTCTTTGATTAAACTGGATTGACAGGCTCATCAGTATCAGTGTCAAATGTTATCATGCATTATATATGCCCTATTAAAATTACATTGGAGGTGGGTACCAGGATCTTTCAGGCAGACCTCAGCTCAATTACTTTGGGTGCAACTGGAAAACCTGCTTGAAAGCCTGTAGCGCTGCAGCCATTATTATCATGTGAAAGAACAAAGAAGCCATTAGCGTGTGGCTTGAACAACATTGCAGGAACTTGTGCTGCCCTCTTTTTCTCCTTAGCCATATTAAGATGAGTGAACTTCAACTACCATACTCTAGCCATCAATGTTATTCTGGGAATTGAAGTCCAGACATCTTAAATTGGCTAAGGTTGGGAAATGCTGGCCTAGGCAGAGTTGCCAGTAAAGCTACAACTTTAACAAGGGGATAAAAGGGGAACTCATTAAATCTTCAAACAATATCAAACAGGCAGGAATAACCAACACTCCAGAAGATAGGCTCAAGATACAGAAAGATCTTGGCAGACTTGAACACTGGGCTCTATCTCACAAAATAAAATTCAATGATGAGAAAAATAAGGCTCTATATTTAGTCTAGAAAAATCAAATGCACAGAAATAGAATAGTGATACCTGGCTCAATAGTCATAACAACACAAGGGATCCTGGACTTCTAGAAGACAATTACTTAAATATGAGCCAGCAGTGTGTTGTAGCTGCCAAAAAAGCCAATGCATTCCTAGTCTGTGTTAACAGAGGGATAGAATCAAGATCATGTGAAATGTTAGTACCACTTTATAATGCATTGGTAAGACCACACTTGGGAATATTGCATCTGGTTTTGGTTGCCATGATATAAAAAAGATGTTGAGACTCTAGAATGAGTGCAGAGAAGAGCAACAAAGATGATTAGGGGACTGGAGGCTAAAACATATAAAGAAAGGTTGCTGGAACTGGGTATGTCTAGTCTAATGAAAAGAAGGACTGGGGAGACATGATAGCAGTATTCCAATATCTCAGGGTTGCCACAAAGAAGAGGGAGTCAATCTATTTTCCAAAGCATCTAAAAGCAGGATAAGAAGCAATGGATGGAAACTATCCAAGGAGAAAAGCAACCTAGAATGAAAAAGACATTTCCTGATAGTTAGAACAATTAATTAGTGGAACAACTTGCCTCCAGAAGTTGTGAATGCTCCAACACTGGAAGTTTTTAAGAAGAGATTGGACAACCATGTGTCTGAAATAGTATAGGTTTCCTGCTAGAACGGGTTTGGACTAGAAAACCTCCAAGGTCCCTTTCAACTCTTATTATTTTCTTAGAGGTGGGAAAAGGGGGGGGGGGGGGCACAGGGAATGTATATCTTACAACTTGGCAACCACCAGCAATTATAAACAAGCAGCCAAATGAGAGAAAATGAGAAGAAAAGAGAAGAAAAATATAGAAGCCCAGCAAGACAAAGTATAATATAAAAAAATGGTAAAATATATTCTACATGCTGGCCATTGTTGATCCATAATAGTAATAGTGTAGATCAGGGGTCTCCAAGCTTGGGAACTTTAAGACTTGTGGACTTCAACTTCCAGAGTTCCTCAGCCAGCAGCTGACCCCTGGTGTAGATCATAGTTTACAAGTAGTTCTGGATTAACAACTCTTTGTTTAGCAACTGTTCAAATTAAAATGAAAAAAGTTACCTATGACCATACGCACACTTGCAGCCCTCATAGCATCCCACAGACACAGAACAAAAAAAATCAAGTGCTTGGCAGCATCCCAGGGTCATGTGATCAATATCTGCAACCCTCCCAGACAGTTTCTGACAAGCAAAATCAGTGAGGGACTGTTAGGGATATACACCCTAGCAGAACGTGCAACGGTAGTCAGGCAGGCAGGCAGATATGTGAGATAAACATTGTTGTAGCTTACACTCAGTAAAACAGATACAATGTACTAGTTAAATAGTTTAAGCAAAGTCCAGTGTTGAAAAAGAGTTCATTAAACTTACAATATCAGTCCAGTATTTTATCGCTTTGCAGTATGAGATAAGAAGAAGTCAAACCTCCTTTCTCTTTTTCTTCCTTCGCAGTTCAAACTCAGTAGCAAGGAAAACACGCAGTTAGCAAACCATCAATCATCAATCCAATAAGCCAGCAAACAGTGAGCTCTCTTGCTCCCTCTTATGGTGATTTTACAACCGCACCCAAAATACATGGTCTTCATTTAAAGTGACACACACAATCATAGTCTATATATATTATTTTACCCAAACTAAGTTAGGTAACCATGTTATTCCTAACAGGGACAATTGATGACCATGTGATTCACTTAACTGTAATTATTCACTTAAAAACTGGAAAAAAGGTCATAAAATTGGGAATAACTCACTAAACAATCATCTTAGTAATGGAAATTCTGCTTCCAATTGTGGTCATAAGTTGAGGACTACCTATAAATTGTAATAAAGTAATGGGGTCACAATGCTGAGTTTGTCACCTGGGTAATGGGAACTCACCTGCACAATGCTGTGAGCTCCCATTACCCAGCCCACTTAGCAGTTCAAAAGCATGCAAATGCGAGTAGATCAATCGGATCACTTCTGTGGGAAGCTAATAGCATTCCATGCACATGGGGTATAGCCATGTGGGCCAGATGTCCATGGAAATTGTCTTCAGACAACACTGGCTCCCTCAGCTAAGAAACAGAGATGAGCCCTGCCCCTGAGATTTGAAAACAACTGGACAGGGAAACCTTTACCTTTAATAGGTAAAAGTAATAGAGTATAATATATATTGAATGGTATAATAGTACAGTAATTTTAATAAAGTAATAATAGCATAGTGATTGCCATAGGACAGACTATAGGAAGCACTCATATTTTTATATGTTTATTTTTAATAAACACCTATGTAGGATTTAGGGCTTATGTGTGTGTCTTGAGTCTGGGTCAATCCAACTGAGCATGGTTTAGATAGAAAGTGTCAAAAACAATTTGACTTAGCAGAAACCAACTTTCCTACTCTTCAGATCTAAGAGGTGCATATAGCTGAAGCTGCTTCTGTAATGAGTACTTATTTTAGTAAATAAGGCTGACAGATTGTTTTTTAAAGTTTATAACTAATAACTGCAGAACAATCGGAAATTCAATCAATGCTTTTTCCAGCACTGAAAAAAACAGAAAAACTGTGTGTGTTAAAAAAACAAGCACTCCCTGCCATAGAAATGAGTCTAATAACAAATCTACTCCATCCCCATCCCTATCAGAGCTATTCTATAATTTTTTTTTGAAAATCTGAGAATTAACTGCTTAAGTGATGGGTTCTTCAAAGTTAAACATAATAAATCTTAACTATAAAACATGGCAGATAAGGTACATCCTGTTGTACTCACTGGTTCTAGTAGGGATGTGTTAAGTATTATTATCTGAAGTAGAATACTGGACCCAGAGAGATTTGTTTCAAGTAAGTATAGGTAGGATGGCAGTATCTGAATGCTATTTGGCCAGGTATACATTAATTAGGAAAAAAGTAAAAGTACATAGTAATAAAGGTTGATTGTGGAATTCTTGTTAAGTTTAAAGAAGTTGTTACTACCACACAGCTGTTCCACTATATTGTTAACTAATAAGGACTTATGTGTTTTTGAAATCTGTCCCTCCACATCTTGGACCAACAGAAAACAAGAGGAAAGGGCAAGTTTTTTCACTGATTTCAATTCTGACCCAACCCTTATTTAAGTAATAAATAGGATCTTCAGGATCCTTAAATTATTCTTTGTCACAAAGAGTTTTTTTCGTGCATTAATCTCTTAACCAAATGAATCTTAAATGTTGACAGATGTTCATCAATAATTCGCTTAGCTTCTAATGAGACTTCAACTTTTCAAGGTATTTAATTACAAATAGTTCTGATATCTTGCCAGCAGAGGTAGTTCAGGAAGGCTCCTTATCTTCAGATATTTAGGCAAAAGTCAAGGAGCATTGTCATTTTATGATA